CACTTACGTTAGCCTAGAGTTGGGCAAAATCATCTACTGCAAAGCCTATTTTATAATGAAGTATTGACTATCTCATGTCATTTATTGAGCATTGTACTAGTACTATTGAATGTGTCTTGCTTTCGCACCATTGTAAAGTCTAAAAATCCTAAGTTGAATCATCATAAGTCAGGGACCATCTGTATTCTTTTCAGTATCCTGATCTTTTTTTTTTTTTTTTCCTATATTTTCTCTCATCTCTCAAAGGATAGTAATAACACCTGTTCTAATTTTTTCTTCTGTGCCTTGCATTGCTCCTATTTCCTCTGAGTTCCCTTTCCTTTTTGTTTTGATCTGAAATGGTGTTAAAAGATTTTTATCAAATTAACAGTGACTCTGGTTGTTTTCATATGTAAGAGAGGGACACGAAAATGTAGATCAGTAGCTTGATGTACACAGGTATGGCTGCTTGACAGAAAGCTTTATACTAGGGTAATTTTGCAAGAATTCAGCTATATAATTAGAAGGTTGTTATTTGCTAATTTATATAAATTTTTTGTGCTGTTTATTTAGAGAGAAATCTTTCAAATCTCTGACTGCAATGTATAAACCACATTTCAGAATTCGGGGAGCTGATTAGAGGAAGGTAAACAGATGTGCAGGCATTCATTTGGTCCTCATGATTTTAGTATGGTGCCTCTTCTTGAGTAATGCTTGGTTTCCCTAAGGCCTGAATACCTCTCTGTTTACCCACCCCAAGGAGTGAACTTTTAGGCTTGTGCTGGGAAGAGGAAAGGTTAGTTACCTGGATGTTCAGGAAAGAGAAGGGATGACTCTAAATGCTTCTAATGTAGACTTTCAACCAATTATTATCCTTTTTAAAATCCTAGCCACACCTACAGTTTCAGAAGTACTTGAAGTTACCATTTCCTGAGACTTCTTTGGTTTCTATGTCATGAATCAGCCACTTCTGGGCTTTCCCACTATTAGTCAGTGTACAAAATGTTCTATTCTGTCAGTTAACTCTTATCTGATGGCTTTCCAGATTCCAAACTTTTGATGCTCTCTTCCTTTTATTTCTTTACCCAAATATTAGTGGGGTTTTGGGCAGGAGTGTCAATAAAACCTGTGTTCAATCCCCCATGTTAACTCCTCACTAGTTCTCATCAGTGGAAACAATAAATCACCAATAACAAAGAACTATAGTCATGTATTATTTATATATCTACTTTCAGAATAAATTTTGCATGTATTGTTTATATATCTACTTTAAGAATATTTCAACCTCAACACATGTATGCCTTTAATTCTAGGTATTGGAAAATTATAGCCCCAAAACAGGCAAAATATAATAACATATACTATAATACTAACCAAATTTACTACAAAGTACAGTAAAAAATAAAAAAGAAGAAACATTATTAATAGTTTATCATTAACTGATAAAAATGGCAGCAAGAGAAAACTCAAAATAACATTAAAAAGAAGCAATATTATTAATAGTTTATCATTAACTGATAAAAATGGCAGCAAGAGAAAACTCAAAATAACATTGTCGATGTACCTATGACAGAGTATCTTTTCCTAATATGATGGGAATTAGAAATTAAAATGTGGGCAAGTGCATTATAGGAATTTGGCAGTATTTCCAAGCATTGAATGGCAGCCAGACTTTGTAACAGAATACTGAAAATTATGTGATTAATTTTAGCTTACTGGTATAAATTTTATTAACCCGTAACTCACTTTCCATCTTCATACTGAGGAAACTTTCATCATATATAAAAACAAAATTCTGTATAATTATAATTCACCTGTTATAAATTAAGAAGTGAATCAGCTCATTAGAAAAACCCTTAAAATATATCATGGGTAGTAGGTTCTAATTTGATAATTCTTGCCCTGGACATAGTTCCTTACCTAAAAGCTGAAAACCTAGTATTTAGATTTTGTTCATCAATCTCTTTGCCACCAACCAATTTTGACCTGTCATAGACACGTACCTCTCAACAGCCCTGAGTAGTTAAGCCTCAGGTCTTTCCGATATGATAAAGGATAGCCCAAAGGTAAGACTTGTTTTACAGTGAAGGGTAAATGAAAATGGCTTTCTCTAGAAAGAAAAAGTACAACACATGGGATGAATGAGGCTGGCCAAGAGAAACAGGCAAGTATCATCTGAATATTGTAACCCTTGCTGCTCATAACCTAAGGCAATGAGATAAGCCAGTTATCCAGACTATCTGGATACCTACTGCTTTGGGGGAAGGACATATTTTCATGGTGTTCTTCAAGCTTGGCAGCACATTAGAATCACCTGGGGCCTTTCCGAAACAATTAGATCAGAACCTCTGGGATGGAAAATAGGCTGAGTAATAACAATAATAATAGTAAAAGCAATGATAATAATAGTAATTGTTAACACTAACCACTTCTCATGTGAAGACACTATGGCTAATACTTTTTATAAATTATTAATTTAACCCAAAAATAACCCTATAAGTAGTATTACTACTAACCCATTTTAAAGATGAGGAAACTGAGGCCAGTAATTTTTTTCAAACTAGGCTTGTCTAACTCTAGAACCCATGATCTTAAATATTATGAAAATTTGCCTCCACCTACCAAATCAGCAACATTAGCATTGTGAAAATCTCAGAAGCTGGTATATCATAAAGCCTTCCTGGCAATACCAACTGTAAGTAGAGAAAAGAAAGATTTAAATTGAGTAACATAGAAATAAGGAAAAGAAAATATTCATTAAATTTCTAATGCATCCAATTAAGAAATAATTTTATCTTCACCTAATAGTTAAATAACCTTAAACAAATTACTTAGCTTCTCTGAGCCTCAGTTTTCTCATATGTAATATGAATGTAATAAGTTCTAACTCATTGGGTTACTGTAAAGTATCAATGACATTCTGGATTTTAAATTTCTTATGCATGGGTCACTGTCTCCCATAAATCAACCAATTTACAGCTGTAAAAATGCAACATCAGCCAAGCTGGGTCTGCTAGGGCTCAGGGGAAGAGAAGGAGACACCTACAGAGTTCATGGAGGCAGGAGAAACCACAATGAGAGACAGAAAAAACTGCTCTCAGCATTTTGGGCCATGGTCACTTTAAGGCTGGAGTAGATGAGCACATGGAGCAGAAGCCAGCAGAAGCCACAGCTGTGCCCTTCAGATGGAGTTGCTTGGAGGCAGCAGGGGAGGAGAGGGTCTTGGTGGCCCCCAGGACAGCAAGACCACTAATAGGGCTCCCATGGACCTACACAGGAGCAAGGAGCCAGAACGACTAAAAAAGGAAGCCATTGAGTCATAGAGGCCAGTGAGTCATCACAAGGGACCGGTGCAGGGCCCGTCCCATGGGAAGAGTTTGGAGCATGGGTAGTCGGGGAGACGGGCCCACCAGGAGAACACTGGGACACTACAAGGACAGCTGATCCACCCCCAATCAGTGCAGGACCACTCCGAGGAGACTGGTTGGGAATGAAGAATTGCATGGGGTACAGTTTGATGAAAAACTCAGGCCCAGATCAGAGTTTCTACACAACACAGATCCACCAGGTCTCTGGATAGCCAGAAATACATATGAGGTCAACCATTAAACCCTGAGCTGTACAAAAAGCCTTCCCTAGGGAAACAGCAGCAAAGCAGCAATTTAGTTCAACCATACAACTCAAGTACTGGTTCCCACAGGAAGGTCCCCCATGTTAGAAGTAAGCAAAGGACAAAAAATTAGTTCTGGCCCAGGCACACCACCAGCACCTTGGGGCCTGCCTGAGAACCAGAGGATTGGAGCTGGGGACTGGACCCCACTCCCACATCCAGGCACACTGCCCCAGCACCTCAGGACCCACCAAGGGACTCAAGGCATGGAGAAGGGGACCAGACCCTCCTCCCACAACTAGGCACACTGTGACACGGCCTCAGGGCCCACCCGGGGACCAGAGGCATGGAGAAGGGGACCAAACACACCCCATAACCAGGCACCGCCAGTGCCAAGGAGTGTCATCTCTCCCCCATGGTGATGGAGATGCAAAGGATTACTCTATGCCCATTTCTTCTGAACAGTGAGAAGCCCCGAAGGGGTTAATTTCCCAGGAACCCTCAAGAGAGAGGCAGTCCTCAGAAAATAACACTGAACTGGGGTCTTCTCTCAGTATTTATTCTCCAGGACAGAAACTTACAGAAAAGGAACATAGGTGGTTACAAAAGAACAGTAAGATAACAGTCATGGCAACAATCATTAGGTTTAGCTGCACCAAGGACATCCGCCTTTAGAGCCAGCAATTTAACTGTGTAACAATTCTTTATCTACAATAGAGACTTTAGCCCAGGGAAAGTTTCCTGTCTTTCAAAAGCTTAACATTTCTATGTGTAATTTTACAAAGTTAAGCTATACCTGAAACTACAGGGCCTTGGAAGCTAGGCCCTGTGAA